TCAGTTACCAACCCAGCCCAGCGCAGGCACCTCAAATGTATCATGGCCTCGTTCCCACCACAGAGGTTGGGAAGGCAGCTACGTCAAATCACACTCTATTTTCAGAAACCTGTGCTTGTGATTTGAAGTTGGTCACTCCTCGGTCACCAATCGGAGATGGTTATAATTCTCAAATCCTCCTAATTATCTTCATGGATGTAAAATGTTTAGAACTCTGTAGGATTTTTCTCTCCAATACATGATCTTCAAACTCTCTCCTTCTTAAAACAAACCAAGTGATGACCAAAATCTGAGGATGAAAAAATAGCCCTGGTGAATGTACTCTTGACAGCTCTCCCAAAGCAACCACCAAATTATGGGAAAAAAAGCCACAGGGCAGTGGGAAGCAGGATCTAATTCAGTTATCAATAAGTTCATTTTTTCTATATGGAAACTCTTCCCCCCCTCCCTGCTGTGCTGTGGAAGTCCTTTAAAAGGGCTGGACCACTTCAGTTCTCTCCTGGGCCCAAGAGAGTGACTTGGGGTAGTCAGCAGGAGTAGAGTCTTTTGCCCTTAACAGGGGGATGTGAGGGCTGACTTGGCTTTCCATGAAGTGGTAGGCAGGGGAAGAAACTGCATGTGAACTGCAGCGTGATTGTCACTCCTGGACTGGGTTGGGTTTCATTTGAGAGTCAAGTGTGAGTACCATCAACTCTAAGTGGAAGCAAGTTATTTTATTTCTTTGCCCCCAGGATATTTATTGGTAAAATGGGTATAGAAATTCCTGGACCCAGCTTCTTTCACAGGGTTGTTAAATTGGTCAAATCAGAAATGATGTGTGTGTGTGTGTGTGTGTGTGTGTGTACAGCTAAAACTGTCATCACAGCATTTTTGAGAAGCTGAAAGTATTTTAGAAATACTTTCACAACATGCTCTTGTGCTTTCATTTCATTTTCAAAGAGGCAATCCCCTTTTCAATTTACTAAGTGCCCCTAAAGATTGCGGGAGATGTGCAAATGAGTGTGAACTTGAACTTATAGCCTTACACCAATGCAGAAGGGTGAAACAATTCCAGGATGTTCTTCTCAGATTTGAAGTCTTTTGCCTAAACACAGTTATGCAATGTTTGGGGAGCCAGTTCCAAGTTCTCTTGAATTGCTTATGAGACATTTTGTTTATTAAATAATTTTCTGAAATCTACCAAGTTTTAATGGCTCATGGTTTCATGCAAACATATGCATGACATTTAGAATTACAGAATTATAGGGGAGAGATTCATTACGCACCCTGCATTTTACAGGAAAAGGAAACTGGGTGCCAGAAGTCTAAATGATTTGCCCAGAGCCATTTAAAGTAGAAAGCCAGAGCTGGAACCCAAATCCAATTCCCAGCTGAGTGCTCTTTCTTCTGAACACGTTTTTCATAAATGTTCTGTTCACACGTTCTTTTTCTATGGTCAATGCTAAGTTCTTGGTAGAAATCTGGTATGGTGTTTTTTCCCCAAGTGATTTCAAGGTAAGAAAAATATTTTATAATTGTAATAATGTCTTGTGCTTTTGAAGAATGTATGATTCTTTGTAAAATTTATAACTCAGAAAGTGCTTTCAAGTTCACTTAATCTTTACAACAATTCAGGTGAGATAGTTATTTACACCAGATATAGAAACAAGCAAGTGAGAAAAAGTGGATTGTCAAGGTTTCTAAAAATCAAAAGGGGACCCAGGAAAGGTTACACTTTCAATTTCCTTCTTGGAGTATTTTGGTGCAACCTGAAAATTGATGCTTAAGTGTTTTGGTTTTTTTTTTTTTTTTTAAAAAAAACTAGTGACTGTTATTCATGAAGATGACTCTCCCTGGCTCCCTCCTTCATCTGGCTGTGGGCTGAAGCTAGGCTCTGCTCCAGTGTGTCCTTCCATACTGACATCCATGGTACTGTGACATGTAGGCCACAGTGGATTGACTTTTCCAGTTTGTCACCAAAACCTTATTTGAGAAAGGCCTTTCTGAATTTGTAGTAGTAATGGTGGCAATCATCATCATCACCATCATCGTGAAACATCTGCTGTTTGTCAAACACTTGTTTCGAGTTCTGTTCTAGGTACTTTACAAGTATTAACTTATTTAATTTTCCTAGCAAGGCTGTGAAGTAGACCCTCTTATTATCTCAGGTTTACAAATTGATGAAACTGAGCAGTTAAGTAACTTGTTGCAGGTAACACAGCTAGCAAGAGGCCAGTGATATTTACATTTTAATTTTTTCTAGTTGTTCAGTGCTTTGTCTTTGGGTAAAGATCCTGTCCTCTTTCTCAAATCTAAAAACAGTTAGGTTGGACTAGCTGATCTTGAGAATTCGCTCTAGTTCTACGTGGTTAATAATCTGTTATGTTTTATCTTATGCCCTGTGGACCTAGGTTGTCCTATGACACCTATTCTGCCCCTTCTTACCTCATCTAATTCCAGGGATAAACGACAGTCATACATCATTATCATTTTTATTTATATATAAACATGAGATGCGCTAACAATTTGAAACATTTTAACTTACTTGGGGAAAAACAGGGAAACTAAATAACCACTCCTGCTCTCTTCCCTCCCGCTTTACTTCTTAAAATATTTGTTTTAACAAAGTCTTTCGTCAAAGGAAGTACAAAGTCCTCCACAAAGGAATACGAGGTTCAAACTCCCATAGTTCTGTCCTTTACCCCACATGTTTATACACACAAAACCTGGTTAAGTCGGGGGATATAGCTCAGTTGGTAGAGTGCTTGCCTCACATGCATGAGACCCTGCACCACACACACACACACACACACACACACACACACAAGAATAAGCTGGTTTAAAATTAACAAGAGGACCACCCAAAACCAGGGAAATGGAAGGCGACATCACCAAATAAACATCAAGGCTGTGTACAGGCATCTGCAAGAGAGACCAGCCACACTACTTGGAAAACCATGTCTCAGTGTGTTCTGGGTGCCCTGTAAGTATCTGAATTCATAACCCTTTAGAACATCAGCTGGTGCAAGGCCACCCTTTCATCACCCCTACAGTATGAAGTCCCTGAAATTGTCCTCATTTGTCATTCAAGATGCCCAGCTGTGAGTTCAATGGTATGCTTTGTGCAGTTCACAAGTGAATCATCACACATTATAACTTCCTCAACTCAGAACCAATGAGTTTTTAAAAAACAATTAAAGATGTTGAAATTTGTACCTTTTTGTATGTGAAAGCCTTTTATGAGGTACATTTACCAAATCTTGAAACAAACCCAAGTGTCAGAAAAAAAAAAAGACAGGTTCATACCATGTGGAGTGGATTGACACTGAAAGAAACGGGTAATTTGTTTCCAAGTGTATTTGACTGGAAGGGGTTAAATCCCCACTTGAGTTGGTACATTTTCCTCATGAATTAAGCACTAAAGTATGTCCATTTCATCATTTTCCTCACACACCTTGCTGTCTTTATTATGCTGTGTCTCTACTTGCCTGCAGACAGAGCTCTCCATACTTTGCTTCTGACTCTAAATAACCGTGATCACTCATGATGAGAGAGTATTGGCTCATGAGATGGTTGGGAGATGTTGAGAAAGTTTTGTTTTGCTTACCAAGCCATGCCTATTTCTTGCATAATGTGACTTTATCTTTGGATTGAGAGCATTGATCTCACATTTTCCTTCTTTTTTTTTTTTTCCCTCTCTGTGTTTTGATTTGTAGTTGATGGTTACTATTTAAGGACTTAATCTTCAGTCATGGAGAGCTGGGTGGAATCTAGGGCATGAGGGCTGGGGGACAGGTGATTTCTCCCTGGTACTCTGTGTCTTCTACAATTCTTTTATGGGGGTATGGGGGATGAATCATCCCCTGGAAGAGGGAAAGTTTCATTCGTATATCATTCATTGAACCTCTCTTTGTGTAAGTGCACAAAACTGACAGACACCTCTGGTAGTAAGGTGTGTTCTGGGTGTCCTGTAAGTATCTAAATTTATAGCCCTTTAGAACATCAGCTGGTACAAGACTACCCTTTTCATCACCCCTACAGTATGAAGTCCCAGAAATTGTTCTCATCTGTCATTCAAGATGCCTAGCTGTGAGTTCAATGGTATTTCCCTAAGTTTAAATGAACAGTTAATGTTTCAAATGTCTTGGGCAATAATGGTTCCCCTTAATGGCAAGAACAGCTTTGTCACTGAGGATGCCCATGGCAAATTTCCTTTCTGTGGGACTCTTCACCATGAACCTGTCACTACCAAGGCTTTGTTGAGACTCTGAGCTACATCTGTGTTCTATCGTGAATTCCATGGAGTTTTGCTGAATGTTCATTACCTATGAGGACAGGAGGACTGGCAAAGATGGGTATGGTGAAGACTGGACATGTGTTGGATGCTGGTGATAAAGATGTGATCCTTGGTTCTTCCCTAGGTGCAGAACAGCCTTTACTTAAACAGTGTTTAAGTAGGGTGCCACTAAAAACACTTTCTCCCATCTTTTCATATAGGATTTTTGTGAATCAGAACTGGATTCTGTCAAATAGGAAGGAGTGTGTGTGTGTGTGTGTGTGTGTGTGTATGTGTGTGTGTGTGTGTGTGTGTGTGTTGATCTTGGCATACCTTTTCCCACAATTGAAGGGCCTGCAATCGGGGGGATATGATGACCTTCACCTATGTTCTCTCCCTCAATCAATAACCAGAGGCAAAGGTAATTACTTATAGTAACCACTTGAGTTTTTTGCTCCACTGTATTTACAGTTAGAGGAAAACAAATCCTGCAATATGTACATGCTTTCCATCAAGGATATAGCACGAATGTCAACAAAGTGTCCTTTTAAGTCAATATTTGCCAGGAAAAGCACAGGCTGTTCTCCGTATTATTATGGCACATAAGGATTCACAAAGTAAAAACATTGAATTTATTACATATTTATACACAAACACTATGAAGCATAATGGGATAAAAACCAGGTCTACATTTTAATAAAATCCAATTTACACGTACTCTGAAAGGCAAACATTTTGTACTTACATAGATCACGGATGGAGTTTTCTACCCAGTCTGTTGTGGAGAAAAAGCAGCTTTAAATTTTCATTGGAAAATAAAAGTGCTTCTTTATTGGATTCCCTTCAGATGAAGCTGAGTAGATGAATAATGTATACATCTTATGCCAATTAAGAAAAAAGTGCTGTGATTTGTACAGCTATGACTGAGAGGAGTCAATTGATACTTGAAGGCAAAGAAGACAGAAAATGAAAAGATAAATGGGTGGAAAATTCCACAACTCAAAATCCCAATGTTCCCTCAAGGACAAGATTGTTACTTGAGAAGGCTCTGTTGGATTTTTGGCATTCTTACATTATCTCACTTTGAAGATGGAATGTAAACCATGGTTTTCAGCCAGTATCACAGTTCTCTGAAGGAAATTCAATTGTATTTCCTAGGACTTTTTGGGAAAGCTGAATTTTCCTATGTCTAAGTGAACAGTTAATGTTTCAAATGTCTTGGGAAATAATGGTTTCCCTTAGTGGCAAGAGCAGTTTTGTCTTTGGGGATGCCCATGGCAAATTTCCTTTCTGTGGGACTCTTCACCACAGAAAGTGGTAGCTCTGTCACTACCAAGGCTTTGTTGACACTCTGGGCTACATCTGTGTTCTATTGTGAACCCCATGGAGTTTTGCTGAATGTTCATTACCTATGAGGACAGGAGGACTGGCAAAGGTGGGCATGGTGGAGACCGGACATGTGTTAGGTGCTGGTGATAAAGATGTGATCCTTGGTTCTTCCCTAGGTACAGAACAGCCTTGTGTTTAAGTAGGGTGCCACTAAAAACACACAGAGTCTTTGAGCTGAAAGTTACTATTACAATTTTCTGCTTCTCAGCACAATTTGATACTTTTCTAGGCATCTGAAGTAGTTTTGAATAAAATTTAAATTACCAAAGGAAACATCGAAGAAGATTTAATCTCTTGACTTGTTTGCATATTTACTAAAAAAAATAGAGGGAAAGATTATTATTATTATTATTCTGTGGTGCTGGGGTCTGGGGCCTCATGAATGCTAGCAAACACTCTACCACTGAATCACATCCCCACCCATGGGGGTGGGAGGTTATTTTTTAAATAAAATATTCATGCAAACATCTGGAATTCAAATTTCTCTTCTTGTGTTTGTGTCAATAAATAACATATTTAAAATGATGCTTAAACATTGGTTATTAGTCACCTTATTTCAAGTAACTAGGGATTTTATGTATAATGCAAAAAGGTCAGTTTTTTTTTACAATAATACATTTATTATAAAACTATTCACAATTATTCCTATGTCCCTTTAAAATTTTTAATATTAATTGATTTTATTTTTTAAATACATGACACGAATGCATCATAATTCTTATTACACATATAGAACAATTTCTCATACCTCTGTTTGTATATAAAGTATGTTCACACCAATTCATGTCTTCATACATGTTCTTTGGATAATGATGTCCATCACATTCCACCATCCTTGTTAATCTCCTGTCTCTCCTTTTTCCTTCCACCCCTCTTCCCTATCTAGAATTCAACTATTCCTCTCATGCTCTCCCTCCCTACCTGACTATGAGTCAGTCTCCTTATGTCAGAGAAAACATTCAGCATTTATTTTTTAAGGAATGGCTAACTTTGCTTAGCATTATCTTCTCCAACACCATCCATTTACCTGCAAATGCCATAATTTTATTCTCTTTTATTGCTGAGTAAAATTCCAATGTGTACATACGCCACATGTTTTTTCAATCCATTCATCCACTAAGGGCATCTAGGTTGGCTCCACAGTTTAGCTATTGTCAATTGTGCTGCTATAAACATTGATGTGGCTGTGTTCCTGTAGTAAGCTGTTTTTAAGTCCTTTGGGTATAGGCCAAGGAGAGTGATAGCTGCATCAAATGGTGGTTCCATTCTCAGATTTTCAAGGAATCTCCATACTGCTCTCCATATTGGCTGCACCAATTTGCAGTCCCACCATCAATGTATGAGTGTACCTTTTCCCCCACATCCTCACCAACACTTATTGTTGTTTGTCTTCATAATAGCTGCTATTCTGTCTGAAGTGAGATGGTATCTTAGAATAGTTTTGATTTGCATTTCTCTGATTACTAGAGATGATGAACATTTTTTCACATATTTGTCGATTGATTGAATATCCTCTTCTGAGAAGTGTCTGTTCATGTCCTTGGCCCATTATTGATTGGGTTATTTGCTTTTTGGTGTTTAGCTTTTTGAGTTCTTTATATACCATTGAGATTAGTGCTCTATCTGATGTGTGAGGGGTAAAAATTTGCTCCCAAGGTGTAGGCTCTCTATTCACCTCACAGATTGTTTCTTTTGCTGAGAAGAAACTCTGTATATCAGTGACAAATCCTCTGAGATGGAAATGAGGAAAACTACCCCATTTACAATAGCCCCCCCAAAATAAAATATTTGGGAATCAACTTAACGAAAGAGATGAAAGATCTATTCAATGAAAACTACAGAACGCTAAAGGAAGAAATCAAAGAAGACCTTGGAAGATGTAAAGATCTACCTTGCTCTTGGATATTATAAAAATGACAAAAGCACTATACAGATTTAATTCAATTCTGATCAAAATCCCAATGGCATTTCTCATAGAAATAGAAAAACAATCATGAAATTCATCTGAAAAAATAAGAGACCCAGAATAGCTAAAGCAATCCTTAGCAGGAAGAGTGAAGCAAGTGGCATCACTATACCAGACATTAAACTATACTACAGAGCAATAGTAACAAAACAGCATGGTATTGGCACCAAAACAGACTGGTAGACCAATAATACAGAATAGAGGACACAGAGACTAACCCATAACATTACAGTTTTCTTATATTAGACAAAGGCACCAAAAAACATGCGTTGGACAAAAGATAGCCTCTTTGACAAACGGTACTGAGAAAACTGGAAATCCATATGCAACAAAATGAAATTAAACTCCTATCTCTCACCATGCACAAAACTCAATTCAAAATGGACCAAGGACTCATAATACAACCAGAGACTCTATGTCTAATCGAAGAAAAAGTAGGCTGTAATCTCCATCAAGTGGGATTAGGCCCCAACTCCCTTAATAAGACTCCTATAGCACAAGAATTAAAACAAAGAATCAATAAATGGGATGGACTCAAACTAAAAAGGTCAGTTTTTAAAAAGATTCATTAGCATAAATTATAAAAGAGTATAAAGATTGTATGTATGATAGAATAATAAACTAATAGAGACTTACAAACTTCTTCAGAATTTAGATATATTTCTTATTGTCTCTCACCGTGGTTTTCAAATCATGTGTGTGTTTGTGTGTTTGTGCGTTTGTGCATGTGTGTGTGTGTGTGTGTGTGTGTGTTCCCTGCAGCCTTCTCACCCCCCACATGGACAGGATTGAGAAAAGGGTTGGTATTCAAAACATTCCTGGCCATGGCTAAAGCATTTGATGAACTGCACCATAACCTTTTCACTTAGGACTAGATTATATGGCAGGGATGCTATACCTAGGGTTGCTGCCTTGGCATGATAGATCCTGTAGCTTTTTTAGGCCACTCATTTTAGAGTCATGTTCGGTTCCCTAGCATGGGCCCTGACTAGAGCATTAATGTGGGGCTTTAATGGGCCTTTTCCTTTCAAAACGGTGAAGGACTTTCTTATGAGGTTGATTCCTCCTACAGTTTAGAATGCTAACAAGAATTCAGTTAGATTATTTCCCTTTTACCTTAAGTAATCTATGAAATGCCCTTAATGATAAGAATTATAACCTTTGAGAACTCTGAACCAATAAGGGAGATATGATACCAAAATTTTCTAGTGACATTTCTACTGTGTTAGTTAGGGAGGTTCTTTTGGTGAGAAATCACAGAAAGTGACTGGAAAAAATAGAAAACTTATTAAATCAATCCTGAATATTCTCATATGATTCAAGGAAGAGTTAAACAGATAAGTCTTGGAAAAGTGAGGAACTATAGACATTTAGAGAGTATGTCAAATAGTCTTTGGGGGTGCTGGGTCTTTTAGTGCCAGATTACCAATTGATTTAGTAGAAATAGTCTTACCTGACCAGTGTGGGTCAAAGGCTTGGTGAGAGGGGTAAGACCACATGGCACATATCATATGGGTACTGGAGGGAAGGAAGGAATGTGACTTATAGGCCACCCCTGTGAGAGGTATTGAATTTAGACATCTTAGCTTTCAATTCTCTGTGAACACACATGTACACACACATATTTTTTCTCTCTCTCTTTCTCTCTCTCTCTCTCTCTCTCTCTCTCTCTCTTTCTCTCTCTCAGTAGCTTTATTTTCCAGTTATAGTTATAGGGAAAATGATATGCAATACCAAACAAGTAATTTAAAGGAATATCATCTTCCTTAGTATGAAGTCACTTCCTTACCATGAGGTCAATGGAACAGAAATGTAATAAGTGGGAAGTAGTGTAGTGTAGAAGTCATATGTAGTGAGTAAACATATAACACTGAAATGCTTTGTGCTACCAAGATCCCAAGCTGGGGCTGGGGATGTGGCTCAAGTGGTAGCGCACTCGCCTGGCATTCGTGCAGCCTAGGTTCGATCCTCAGCACCACATACAAACAAAGATGTTGTGTCTGCCAAAAACTAAAAAATAAATAT